AGGGAGCTCTCCTTAAGTATTACCCTCAACGTGCATTTCTGACTTTGAGGTTACGCTGTATCTGAAGTGATCTGTATCCCCCGATAGGTACGTTTCCTTACATAAAATTCTTGTGCATTAAGTTTCATAAACGTCTTTGCGTGTTGCGATTAGTTTATCAGGCCAGAGTTATACTTGTCTGAATTTAAGGACTATATTTTCTCATGTCTCTTCGCCACAGGATGATTTGTCACTCTGATCTTTTCAGGTATGATAGAGGATAGAAAGTATGAGATCCCAAGCCGTATCGAGTGCGACGGTTATCGAGGTACGTTGAAATACGTCGGACCCGTTGGGACCATCAAGGGAGAGTGGTTAGGCGTAGACTGGGACGATTCGACTCGTGGCAAACAATGGCACGTATGAAGGTGTAGAGTATTTTCAAGCCAGGTAAAAACACGTGAGACAGTTGTTTTGCAATAAGCATGGTAGCAGTGATCTTTAACTCTGAGTATAATTTTTAATAGACATTCCACATCAGGTTTTTTTATACAACCGGGCAAAACCAAGTTTGGGATATCTTGCCTGCAAGCCATCAAAATGCGCTATGGGCTAATCGACGATGAATTAGCGGGCATATATAGAGACGAAGTGTCGAGCTTAAGGAAAGAAATCAATGCACCGTTTTTAGAATTTGTCGGCTTCTTCAAAGTGAATAAGAAACAGAGCAAGTTTGACAAGCTAAAGATAGTATGGCTGAGGGAGCAATGTGTATCCAATGCGGGAGAGCCACGGGAATTGGAAGAACTGTGTTCTAATTTGGAAGAATTGGATTTATCTAGAAATTTAATAAACTCGTGGAAAATCGTAGCAGATATATGTTTCCAGCTTCATTTCCTGATGCGTCTTAACGTCAGGTGCGAACAAAACTTCTTCATTTTGACGGTATTTTTTAAATTTTCCCAGAATATTAGGCAATATTAAACAACGTTAGAAATATACCTATCGATAATATACATTAGCTGCAACTATAGGAGAATTCGTCTTTTTTGTTTACACAGTGAGAACCATTTGCCTATAGAAGATGTGGCAGCATTAAAAGATTCGTTTCCAACAATTAAGCATTTAACTATAGCTAAAATGAATTACAACTGGTCTGATATTCGGCTATGAATATCCATGTTTTCGTCGATCAAAGAACTCTTAGTCTCTTTTAATATTGTCACAACCATAGAAGACATAACGGTAAATACTAATTTAATGAGAATAATTATATTAATATTCAAAGGAAATCTAATATCAAATTAGGATGATTACCTATTTCCTTTATTTGCTAAAAAAACATGAATTTTATATTTCATATACTACTTAAAAAGATCTCTTTTTACAGCTTAGAATATCTTAATTTGAATTTAATTAAAATAGATAGAATTAGATTTCTATCTTCAACATCAACAGATAAGACTGCTTTGTTTCCAATGCTATGTCATCTACATACATATTTCAGAAAGCTACATATCAGAGGTAAAAAGTTAAGTTTTCATGGATAGCATTGATGCAGTAGAAATTTTATATCAAAATTTCTAACTAAACCATTTGACATAAAATTTTAGTGGCAATCGATTAGCGAATTAGATAAATTATCAAATCTAGAAAACTTGAAATTCAAAGAAGATCC